AAAAGAACTTTTTATTAAATTAAATGAGAGGAGCACAATAAATCTCCTGCTACATCACTTTTTTACAAGCACACGAGAAAAATATAGCATGCGATAAATTTATTGTGCATTTAATGCTTGCAGCGCTTTGTCTCTCCCTTGCGTTCCTGAAATAAAAACAAAATATATAAAATTAATGGAGGATATATCAAAAATAATTTTATTAATGCACTAAAGTTAATAAAATTTAATTATTTAATGCGAAGATATCACTTGAGAAGACCAAATGCTTTTTAAAGCCACAAAATGCTTCCAGCATTCAGCGTGCAACATATGTTGCCGGTCTTGCAAGCGAAGACTCATGTTTCGAAGTATTTAATCAATTAGTTTTTATGTTGAAGCTGTTGAAGCATTTGCTGTCGTATTTTTAATATTAAAAAAAAAATACTCAAGCATAAAATTCTAAGTATTTCTGTGTTTTGTTCTTGCCTGAGATTAATACCGGCCATCGAAGCGGGCTTAAAGGTTATAAAACCAAATTCATCCAATTTTTATTCAATTTAAAAATGTCACTAAATTTTAAGTCTTTAAATTGCATTGTTTTTATGTTTTGCGGTTTCTGCTAATAAAATATTTGCGGTTTAAAGTTCGCACATTTGTTTTATGTGTTATGCTTCTGGCAAATGCGAAATTGCTTTTATCTGCACAGATCTGCACAGTTGCAACATTTGACAAATTGAAACCGCAAATTAACTGCACTTTTAAGTTGCAAGCGATATCGCAGGTGCTGCATGCAGTCACATATGAAAAGATATATTATAGGAACTGTCCCCAAAATCATACCGACCATTCAATGTGGAAAATCAATTTCGAAAGTTGCTTTCTTCCGAACACAGAATACAAACATTTTCAATTTCTAAAGTAATTAGGTAAAGCCAACACAGCACGTTTTTTGTCTTGAAGTTGAAAAATTCTCTTAATAATTAACATTTGACAGCATGAATCTGCATTAGGTATGAGTATCTTATGAAAGTGTGCCGAAAACAGAGTTCAAATACAATAATTCAACCACCGTTATAGTTAATCTTATATATAAAATTAACATTGTCAAAATGTTAGTTACCGTACTCCTCCGAAACGGCTTTACCGATTTTTACCAAATTTTATATGCGTATTCAGTAGGTCTGGGAATCGGCTACTATCTATTTTTCATACCGCTAAAGTGATTAGGGTGTCCCTATCCAGCAAAAATATCTTTATTGCTTTAACAAAAATTTTTTTATTTTTTTGACATAAATTTTTTTATATTTTTGAAAAAGTAAACTTGCTATAATATGAAAAGTTGTTGTCTATGAAAATACTGAATTCATAAAACTGCCCCCTAATTTTTGCACTATCGTTGATTCCCAAAATGCTCTCATTGACCGCGTATTTCCAGATGTACACATACAATACATAAATCATGGGTGGCTGGCAGAAAAAGCCATTAGCAGCAAAAAAAAACGTGGACGTTGATGAATTAAACTTCAAGATAAAACAGACATTGCCAGGCGACTTAATATCATACAAATCGATCGATACAGTTTGTGATACCAACGAAGTTGTAAACTATCCAGCAGAATTTTTAAACTCACCGGATTTGCCAGGCATCCCACCACACATTTTACGACTGAAAGTTGGATCACCGATTATTTTACTTCGGAATTTGAACCCACCACGGCTATGCAATAGTACGCGATTGGTAATTAAAAAATTGATGAAAAACATTATCGAAGCCACCATTTTGAATCGCAAGGTCCGAAACGAAAAACTTTTATTGCCACGAATTCCAATGATTCTCACAGACAAGCCAATTTAATTCAAACACGTTCAATTTCCTATTAGATTGGCATTTGCAAAGACCATCAATAAGTCACAAGGCCAAACGATGTCTGTTTGCGGTCTTATATATAAAATTTCCATGTCACAATGTTAGTTACCGTACTCCTCCGAAACAGCTTTACCGATTTTTACCAAATTTTATAGGCGTATTCAGTAGGTCTGAGAATCGGCTACTATCTATTTTTCATACCGCTAAAGTGATTAGGGAGTCCCAACCCAGCAAAAATATCCTTATTACTTTAACAAAAAATTTTTTTATTTTTGACATAAATGTTGTTTATATTTTTGAAAAACAAAAATTTTTTTCTTAATATTTTATGTAACTACGCCAACAAGTACATCGAGCATTACATACACTTCGTTCTTCGTCTTCGCCTGGCATGGCAGATGGAAAATGTACTAAAATTAAATCAAAAGATTTCACTAATGATACTATAACAAATACCGACGGATATCCAATATATCGTCGAAGAAATCCCGATAATAGGGGACAATGGCGGGTGGTGCCGTATTCGCCTCTGCTAAGCAAAACATACAATGCTCATATAAATGTTGAGTTTTGCAGTTCTGTGAAGAACATCAAATATATAAGTATGTCCATAAAGCCAGTGATATGGCTGTGTTTAGAGTAAAAAATACTAATATAAATGCTCCTCCAATGAACAAAAACGGTGAAATTACGCTCTACCAAATTGGTCGGTACATCAGCTCCAATGAAGCTGCTTGACGTATCTTCGGTTTTCTAATTCATGAACGGGATCCAGCAGCTGTTCAGGTAGCCGTCCATCTTGAAAACGGTCAGCGTATATTTTTCACGAACGAGACAGTGATTGATCGTGGTACAAATCCACCTAAATCTACACTCACTGCATTTTTTTAATTGTGTAATAGTACGGATGATTTTGGTGCCTTTGCAAGAACATTACTCTATTCACAAATACCACGCTATTTCACATGGGCTCAAAAAAAAATGGATGCCCCGCAAGCAAGTTTCACCAGTTGATGCATGTCTCAATTTATTTAAATCGAACGCTTATTTACAGTTAATCCAAGACACACTGAGTGCTTTTATCTTCGACTGTTGTTGGTTAATGTTACTGGCCAATTATCATTATTATTATTTACAGTCAATCCAAGACAATTTAAATTTGAAGATACAACAGTTGTTGCCAGGGAACTTGGTATCATACAAATCTATTGATTTTAAATTAATAATTTAATAAATAAACTATAACTTAAAAATAATATTGTTTGGCGTTTATTTTTATTTTCCTTTTCGTTCATAGCGCTCCATGCCTATTTCATGCATATACCACATACTTACACACTTATAATAAGTAAGTTACTTTTTGTCTACACTAGAATTTATCTAGAAACTAGAAATAATTTATAAGGCAAAACAACGTTTGTCGGATTATCTAGTATATATATTTTTTCTCAATTTTTTCCAAATAAATGTCATTTATAATCGAAAAAATATATTCATTAAATAATCAGGGTCAATAACTAATTATTACTGTAGTTTTTATTATTTTTATTGATTGAGGTAATAGTTGCAATATTTTTGAAATACAAATTAAATCACAAAATTAATAGCTTCTAAAACTAATTTCACAGTAGTCTGGTAATAAACATAAAACCTAAATCATTAAAAAGTATTTTAGGTAATATGCTAGTAAACTTATACTTATGTAGTATATAGTATTTGTCTTTTCTCAAATGTGCTAAAGGTTATTTCAATCTATTTAAAAATCTATTTTAATCTGTTTGAAAAGACAAATTTTATATTGTGATTTCCGGCACATACGAGTTCTTTAAAGTAGATTAAAAAGCTCCCAGCCCTCTTACATAGAGCATGGATGCAGTACCACCTGCTTCATCCATATTTACAAACATTTTTTTTTTTAGTTTCAAATACAGATTAACTGTTTAAACTGTTTCAATATTGCTTAAATTAGTGCTTTTTTAGTAGTTAAATTTTTTAATGTGGCAACATCAAAAAAATTTATTGTTTTCTAAGAGTTTTTACTATATTTACATTTATAACCAATTAGCAAATTATCTGCTAAATATTCACGCCAAAGTAATATTTGCCAATTGTGGCAATCTATTTCCGGATTCAAAAAATAAAAAAATTAAAATAGATGTACGCAGAGGTCTTTGACCATTCTTCGGTCAAAAATTAATTAGTTCAATCGGCTATTCAAAAAAATTTTCGACAATTTTTTTTTCCAGTAGGTGGAAAGCATCGAAAGTGTGAGACTTGAACCCACTAAAACCACCTTTTAGGAATGATATAAAAGATTGTAGCCGCGGA